TCTCACACACACACACACACACACACACACACACACACACACACACACACACACACACACACACACACACACACACACACACACACACACACACACACACACACACACACGCACACACACACGAAAAGCATGTTTCTCATTACCTTTTCTCTCTGTATTCTGCGGTGGTGATCCACCCTTTTGAGGAGTTATTTTAAGTTTTTAAAGAAAACAAATCCCGCTTTTGTTTGTGAGTTTCTGGGCGACATTTGCCTCAGACTAATTGGTAGCCTCGGAGCATGGCAGCAGCATTCGGTGGACCAAACATCAGGAGAGAGAGATTTCCAGAAATGATATAAAAGAAAACATTTTCCAAAATGTTGAGCATCTCGTGTGGGAGTTTAAAACCAAACTGTAAATAACATTTTGGAAACACAATTACTGTACAGCACGAAGCTGTGCACAAATCACTTCTGTTTTCACTTTTAGTCTCATGTCTTCAACATTATTGGTAGCAGATTTTGGAAAATAACGACAAGTAGGGACATTAAACTGCATCAGATTCATGTAATAGTCAGGCTTTCACTCAGGAAAGTGCTCTGATGGCGCACAGTTTCACGATCAATGTTATACAATGGATACATCGTCTGCTGAGATGATTCAGAGTTGAGATGAATATCTTGTTTTCTGTACACTGAATATATTACTAGAGCCAACAGCCATTTGCCGATCGTCCGAACAACAAAAGGACATCTCTTTCCAGAAGAAGCGTCCCTGTAAGATTCCATAAAGACTATCTCATCAGCAGAAAGTAGTTTCAATGAAAACAGAGAAAAAGCTGCAACAGTGAGATAACTGGAATCAAATAATCACGATTGGGGTGTAACACTAGGATGGGTCAAATGCAGAGAAACCATTTTGTTACATAGTAAGTAGGCCTACTGTGTAATGACATTAAAAGTATAAAAGGATACACAAAAAGACAACTGTATTCCCTTAAAGATACATCAAAAAATATGTAATCAGATTGCTGTAACCTTTTTAAAATAATTGGGGATTGCTAGCAGGACTACAATTAACTACAAAAATTGCATATTATGTTTGTAGTAAAAGGATCAGATTTAATTTCTTCTTTGTAAACGGTGGTGTTCTGTACGCAGAAACTATAAGTGTGAATATATACGCCTACTGCTTGAATTTGCTTTATGATTTTCACTTTCTTTGATTCACTTGTAAAAAAAATAACTGGTGAACCTGTGTTCATAAAAAAGTGTGTTTGAGTTGNCTGTACTTTCTACTTCTTACATGTTGAACACAAATACCTGTACTTTCTACTTCTTACATGTTGAACACAAACACCTGTACTTTCTACTTCTCTCATTGAAAATGAGAGAAGTAGAAAGTACAGGTGTTTGTGTTCAACATGTAAGAAGTAGAAAGTACAGGTATTTGTGTTCAACATGTAAGAAGTAGAAAGTACAGGTATTTGTGTTCAACATGTAAGAAGTAGAAAGTACAGGTATTTGAGTTCAACATGTAAGAAGTAGAAAGTACATTTGGGTTCAACATGTAAGAAGTAGAAAGTACAGGTATTTGTGTTCAACATGTAAGAAGTAGAAAGTACAGGTATTTGTGTTCAAAATGTAAGAAGTAGAAAGTACAGGTATTTGGGTTCAAAATGTAAGAAGTAGAAAGTACAGGTATTTGAGTTCAAAATGTAACAAGTAGAAAGTACAGGTATTTGAGTTCAACATGTAAGAAGTAGAAAGTACAGGTATTTGAGTTCAAAATGTAAGAAGTAGAAAGTACAGGTATTTGAGTTCAAAATGTAAGAAGTAGAAAGTACAGGTATTTGTGTTCAACATGTAAGAAGTAGAAAGTACAGGTATTTGTGTTCAACATGTAAGAAGTCAAAGTAAAAATGTGTCAGGAAAATAAGTAGTGGAGTAAAGTACTGATACCAGAAAAATGTACTTAAGTACAGTAACGAAGTATTTGTACTTTACTACTTCCCACCTCTGCAGGATGACATGTAACACAGTGTGGTGTATCTCAGTAACGCTTGACGTTGTTTCTCATGTCGTCTCGTGTTTCTCACCCATGCACATGGTCTGGTCGGCAGTGGCCTTGAATCCGTTCTGGCAGATGCAGCGGTAGCTCCCCTGCGTGTCGATGCACTCTCCATGGCTGCACACGTTAGGGATCTCCTGGCACTCATTACGGTCTGAAAAGCAAAAGAAATTAAAGTTGTTAATGTATCGGTAAAAGGGATGCAACATTTAAGTATTGTAGTTATTGAGTTAGCCTTAAAATGTCATAATGATGCCTTCAAACACACACTGACACAGCACACATATAAAGACACATTCATACACTTGTTTAAAACATTTCTAATTTGAATGTAATTGTTGTTTTAATACGTGTTGTTCTATTTGATTTTGCACTTCTCTTTTTGTTTGTATGTTAACAAATTCTAACATTATTTAGGTGGAGGCTGCAATGGGCTTTCTGCCTCTTCCTGCACTTTGTATAATTTATTATCTGTTATGTTTGTGTACATTTATAATGTGTTTTATCTTAAATCATAGAAACAAAATTAACAACAATATGAAAAACACAAAAGCAACCAATTCTAACATTTCCTAAACGGTTTTATTTTCTATGACTAATCACTTCAAAACTACTGATAGATGTTTTGTTAATCAACTAAATTACTATTTCTTCTGCAGGATTCTCCCTTTATGTTATGTGTTTTTATGCTTTTTATAATCTTATAGATTCTTATATGATATTTTCTATTTGTTTCAGTGGGTGTTTCTCAATGTCGAGGAAAGCTGCTCCAGAGCCACTATTTCAAGCATACTACGTCATCGAGTCCGCCGAAGGACTGTCCCAATGTCCAGCATACTTGGAATTCTACCGAGCCCGGCGTACTTCGTAGAGAGAAATTTCGAGGCTGCACATGTGTAGACTCCGCAGTCTTAAAATCCCCACAATGCTTTGCGCACGGACCAATTACCCCAAATCTGTGGCGGAAAATGTAAGGCGGGGCATCTCATATGACGCACACCTGCACACTTGCTCGCCTGTTCCACTCTTCGTATTCCGAATGCCAGGAAGGATTCTTGCCTCGCTTCTGAAGCAAGTGACTCGGAAGACATGTGCTACCAAGCAAGCGTACTCAACATTGAGAAACACCCAGCATGTCCAGGTCCTGCGTTCAATTAAAGTTGTATCTCTTGTTTTGGTGTCTTTCTTTTTGAATATTCAGACATGAACATTTCACCACATTAAAATAATAAACAGGGTGGGTTTGTAGTAAAACAGCTTACCTCAGCAGATTCTCCTCTCTCCAGGGAATGCAAATTAAAATCCATCAACAAGAGATGCTTAGTTTGACATGTTCCCCACTTCACCAACACAAAACCCCTCCATGGCATGTTAAGATAAGATGCCCCAGTAAGACCTCCACTCACCCACACAGGCCCCGCTGGGCGACAGTTTGAATCCCGGCGAACACTCGCAGCGGTAACTTCCTGGGATGTTGATGCAGTTGGCGTTGCGTTGGCACAGGTTGTCCCCGCTGTTACACTCATCAATATCTAAACGAAGGGGGGGGGGAGAGAAAAACATTAATCACTGAATCCATAACTGTCTGCTCTGGAGAAAAAACACAACTCTCCTTCATTCAGAGGAGTCACCATACTGTCTTTACAACGACATAACTCAGCTTTCACTGCACTGAGTGGACTGGAGTTAACGGGCCTGAGTGAGTGGAGCTGTATTAATGTGTGTGTGCTCCTTCATGTGACTGTATAGGTGTGATTTAGTGCAACAAAGGTGGTGCATGTGTGTGCCAGGAGTTAGTACATGATGTACTCTATGCCAGGAGATTTAAAGTCTGAACCTGCTGGCCCTGTTTAGTGTTTGGTCAATACTTGTGTTGGAGAAAATACAAGGTGT